AAAATGTGATCATTTTCAGTATTTTCTTCTCATGAGACTGATTTTTTAAAAATATCTTGAATAATTTTTTTTTTTTCTTAGAACTTTTTTTCATTAGTTGAAATAACATTCACAAATTCACAGATCTTTTATCAACATTCAAGAAGAATGTTTACTTCCATCAAATATTCTTTATAGTATTAGTGTCTATGTTTATGCTTGAACTTTTGAAATAAAAAACCAATGAACCTAAAAAATGTTTTTTTATTTAGTTTTAATTTTTTAATTCTGAACAAAAAGAAACTTTTCATTATATTGATCAAAATATGTTTTTACAAAAATCAATAAATATTCACCTATTGTCAGCAACTTGAAAAATCTTTATTATTAACTTGATCACTTCATTTGAAAATCACTTCCATCCACCCCACCCCCCTTCATTACATGTTTACTTTTCAAACTTTCAACACTCTACCTACCAACTTATCAAAATATTGGCATCATTCCAACAATAGGCCTGCATATTATTGGAGTGTAATGTTTACTTTCAAGCAAAAATATTTCCTTTTGTCCTATTAGTTGTGATGCTTCCTTAGTTAAACTTATGCACAATGAAATTCAATGCATCAATAAAATGTGAATGTTTACCCTTCCAATGCATCAATAAATGCCAGTATTTACCCTGTGCATCACTAAAATCTGAATGTTCACCATCTTTGCATGCTGTTTATCATTAATAAAAGCCATTTTAGTGCTTTTATTTATTTATTTATTTTTTCTCAGTTATACTGAGGCACTTATATTGAGTTTCCAAACAGCTCCAAAAGCTAAATCAATATTTAACAGATGTATACCAAGGTCCATGCCGACAATAGGTGCAAGGTTGTGCAGCGCACGATGGAGCCAAGTCAGAAAAGTGCCAGGAATGATTAAAACAAACAATTTGTCTCGCTGCCTGTCTGAACAGAAAAATTCTTGTCTTATTTGAACACACCTTCGGGGGTCAACTCAGGTAAAACCTGGGAAGCTACTGTAAGGAACTATACCTAGGCAGTCTCGGCCACGGATTTTTAAAATCGGTCTCCACAGGACTGGAGTCATCACACCACAGCTGGACCATGGGCTGGATTGGTGGCCCGATCTATCTGGCAGTGTTTAAGTCACTTCATTCTGCTGTCAGAATCAGAACGAAAAAAATTGCCGTATTAAATATTTAAAGGTTAAATCTATTTTTGAAGCCTTAAACCAAGTTGATTAATGACTAACGAAAAACATGTTTTGTTCCAATGAATTCTCTGAGACTTTAAATTAATCCAACTTTCTTTTCAAACATAATTTAATTTAAAAGTCTAATAAAATTAATTTCTTTTCCCGACATATTTTCACATTCCTGTAGTACAAAAATTATATGCAATTTCAAAAAAATTATCTAAAAAGGTTAAAGGTGAATGAATCAATTACTATACAAAAATAAAAATAAAATCTGTTTACAGAATTTAACAATCAATTTAAATTTTAAAAATTGAAAGTTAATTTTATAGTCCTATTATATAAAACCTAAAACTAGGGTTGGCTCATTTAAGTGAAGGAAAAGAACCAACTTTTCTGTGAAATAAAAATCCTGTTAAAGGAAAAAATGAAATAGCATTTTCTGGAGAAAATTTTGCTAAAAAAAATAAATAAATATTTTAACAGAAAACAATGAAATTATTGAAAAAAATCAAGCTTACCCTTTTGTACACGTACAAGCCTGCAGTATGTATCAACTTTCAGATGCCTAATAGGTTACCAAAATTTCAAAAGGGGAGACCAGAAACTGTAAAAGATCTTCTACAACAAATAGCGATGGACTTAAAACCATAAACAAGCCTGCACTTCCTTGTTGTAAAGCAATTGGTCGCCTTCCGGAAAAGAGGTTTTGGGTTGAAGGAGCATCTTAAGGAAGAGGTAACAAGTGTCAAACATGGCATCATTTTTAGATGTTTGTCTTTAAAGAGAAACCATCCAAGATAGCTATGTTATAGCAGTCTCTTTTTAAAACTGGCCAAAAGCACTGGAAATATGAAAAATGGGTGTTTAAATATTGTAATAATTCATGCAATCAAGCTCTCTCTCTATGTACAGTACAAAGTCTGTAATTCAGACGTCCATTATCCGGAATGATCTATAATCCAGACCTCAAAGCAACCAGCTTTTTTTTTTTTTTTTGTATGCTTTACGCATGCGCATAAAGAATGTGCATACATTACGCACCTTATACTTCAAAAGTCATAACACCTTGGGTCTTTACTCTTAATTAGGTATAGCGCATGCTTTATTTTGTGTGTTAGTACTTGAATAACCCTTATTCTTCGTATCTGGAACGCAGATTTTCTCATAAGTTTTTAATTTCCCTTTGAATTCAGAAATAGTTTTACACCCATAAAAAATAATTTTGGTACTACTCTGATCCGGTATGCCATCGATTACATAATCAAGAATTGATGAATCATCAACAGAACCGCGACTGGATATTTCACGCATGGTAATTAAATATTCGGAAAGGGATTCACCAGGTTTTAAGTGTTGTTTAAGTCTAGACATAGGCTAAATAAACCGCATTTTTTTCTACTTAGCACGATATTACTTGCGTAATCAGAACAGCTTGGCTTAATGATTTGTTTCTCTAACCATTCTGAAATCTCTTTATCAATTTCATGCTGCTCTGCCGAGTGGGGAGCGCAATGAACTGGAAGTTGATCTGTCAGCACTATCCTCATCTTCAGGGCAGATGTTTTTATTTTTTTCGGCGTATAATTCCTTACTAAATGTAGTATTTCAACTCGATGAACTCCATCTTTGATGTGATTGAAATTAATCTCCTCATCATTATAAATATCACGAATACACATCAAATAGTCTTCTGGTTGCAATTTTCTAATTTCGACTATGCGTAATGTATGCTTTATGCATGCGCGCGTTGAAATATATGTTAAATAAAGTAAACAAATAAATGTTAAGTTTTTTTTTTTGTAAAATTTGATAACCTTTAGATCATAATTGCTCTTTATTTCATAAATTACGGTTTCATATTTTGAATTGTATAATTTCTGCATGCCATCTTACCAGATTTAAATTGAGGATCTATAATTCAGAAAAAACCCTAATCCGGAATCGCCGAAGTCCCGACGAGTCCCGGATTACGGACTTTGTATTGTATATATATATATACACAATCTCTCTCTCTCTATATATATATACCGTATTTGACGGCATATAAGATGCACTTTTTTCCCTAAATTTGGTCTTAAAAAAGTTACCTGAGTCTTATACGTGAAGGATACAGGTTAACTTTTAATACTGAATGCTATTTTCAGCCTGGATAAAGGTCTAGACACACATAACTTTTTCTACATCTGCATGTGTGTGGCCTTCTAAATAAGGGTGTGTCGTATATGCCAGTGCGTCTTATATGCTGTCCAATATGGTATATATATAACATACTGGTTATCATAAATTAAGGAAAAATCACAAAAATAGCGATAACTCCCTCAAAAATAAGCCAAACCGTGTAAAATTTGAATATGTTGCCAAGTAAGAGTAGCTGAGTAAAACTGCAATATGCAAATTAGTGGCACTACACTCGGAATACGTCATCTGCGAGGAGAATAAAAAGTCCATGTTTGAGAGCAAACCCACATCTTTCACTGTGATAGTGACATCAGAAATCTGAGATAGCCAATTCGTAACAATGACCTCCAGGCATCATTTGCCTGCAGAACTGCGATGGAGAGCCATTGGGAGACTAGAGGCAGGATAAAGTCAAACAGAAGTGGCCAGATGGCTAAATGTGAGTCCTTCTGTGGTTCATAGACTTTGGAGGTGATTTCAAATCACAGATTCGGCCTTTAGGAGGCTCAGCCAAGGACTACCAACTGCTATGAAGAGCGTTGATGACCGATATGTGACATTATGTGCTCGCAGGAATAGAACCGCTACTCTGACTCTTCTTAGATCCTCCCTTGCTGCAGCCACCGGAAGGTTGGTGTCAATGTCAGCTGTGCGTAGAAGGCTTCACGAAGGTGGTCTGTATGCGAGGCGAACAACCGTTTTTGTGCCGCTCAAGTCACGGCATAGGAGGGACCGTTTTCAGTGGGCACGACAACATGTCCACTGGACACCTGAGCAAGGGAGAGCTATTCTCTTTACGGATGAGTCCAGATTTAGTCTAGAAAGCGATAATAGGCGTTATTTGATATGGAGAGAATCTGGAACCCGTTATCATCCATCAAACATCCGTGAAAGAGATGCATACAGAACAGGCAGTGTCTGTGTTTGGGGTGGCATCTCTTTCGGTGGACGTACAGACCTCCATGTCTTTCCACCGGAAACTGTGAATGCTCCAGTTTATAGAGATGACATCCTTGATACTTATGTACACCCATGTGCCGGGGCAATAGGTGATGCTTTCCTATTACAAGACTATAGCTCAATACCACACAGGGCTCGCATCGTAGATGATTATCCTCAACAGGACACATTTATGTGCATGGAATGGCCAGTTCGATCCCCGGACTTGAATCCTATCAAGCACGTTTGGGATGATTTAAAGAGACATCTAGCTGCTCTCAGTCTGTCCCCTCAGACAAGCATCACACATCACTGTATGTGCTGTATTGGTTCTAGGCGACCATCTTCCCTATTGAAGATACTTTTCCTATAGCAAACTGACACCTTCAATTTGTTCATTTTATACATGTGCTCATTAGCATATTTAAAATTGAATTAATAAAAAGGAATAATTAAAAACAAAAGCTCAGCAAACAAAGTAAGTAACTATTATAATTGACGGAAAATTAGTTGAATTTTCAAGGGGAACAAACTAACTTTTGTTACAAAGTAGATAATATATTCGATAATCAACTAGTAAATAAATTATTATTTTATTACTTTGCAGCTTTAGTCAAGTATTAGGCAATTTATTACTAATAATTACCTTATATATGTGTGTGTGTTTATTATTTATGTATATTTTATTGCAGCTTCTCAGAGCCCTCCCCATCCTCCATTAATGGCTTATAACACACAACAGCAAAGATATTTTTACAACCCAAATACATGCCAGCATCGTTGCTGTTGTGGTGGCCAGGGATCACCAGGAAGAATTCGGCGCAATTCTTTTGCTGGTGGTATGTGTGTAGATTCATCACCCACTGCTCATTTTTTTTCTCATGGTACTTCTCCTTCAAGTATGGAAGGTCATTTTATACCACCAGAATTACCGGAAGAAACTCTGCTTGAGGTTGGTCAATTGAATTTTTCATTGAATAGTTATAATGGATTTTTTAAGAGAATGAGTTGAAATTAAATGTAAAACCAGCTGCATTTTGTACTGCATTTAATTTAGTGTGCTAATGGGCTCAATAATTTTATTATCTTTTCGTTTGGAGAATAAATTATTTTCTTTGCAGAAGGAGCATAATGACACTCTTGCAAAGTTAAATTTTGTGTCCGCATTAGTAAAATGTATCTTAGAATTAGCCAAGACAAGAAGTTCTCCCCTCTCCTCTGCATTAACAAGTTCCATCACACAAACAGAAGTATGTTATGAATTTTATTTCACTATTTTATTTAATTTTAGATTTTAGTGTGTTTAACCTGTATTAATTTTTATTTTTAGATCTTCTTTTTTATTTTATTAGGCTTTTTTAATGTCTTTTATGTTAGATTGCAAGTTATAAATTATTTTGAGAATTGTATCTTTATTTATTAAATACTGCATATAACGATAGCATTGTATATTGCACTCAAGGCAGGCAAGGAAATAAGTTTTATTAACTGTCTCACATATGTCATCTCGTAGAAAGAAGAAATAAAAAATTAGTACAGTTATTTTTTATGTCTGTTGTCTTTATTTTTAGCAATATCAGAATGGCTGGAAGTGGATCAGGATTAAGAAAGAACATATAAATTAATGTGGTGGCCATAGTTTGAGTTTCAGAGGACAGTGGTGGAAAATTGACAGCCTAATACTTATATTAGATATGCTTAAATAGCTTTGCCATTTTGGGTTCGATTGCTGTTTCTCTGTTTCCTTTGTAAAATATTCTTAGCACTTGTAAATTTGGCCTAGGTTTATTACTCATTCTTTAGAAGTGTTGTATGTGCAAGATTAGTTATCTTTTTAATTTTGAAACTTTCATGTGACTGTGATGCATTCTTGTTTTGAAATTTTGGGGTATATTCAGTTAGAATTTTAAAGGTTAAAAATTTTTGTTTTAAAAAACTGCATTGTGTACTAATTTTTCCTTCTCAGAACTTGTCAAAGTCAAATTTTATAGTCATTAAAAATTTGCCTTTAAAAAATAAAATTTGAAACTTTTATTTTCTGTGATAAATTATAGTATAATGGTTAGGTAGCATTTTACAGTTCAAAATATCAAAAGTAATCTGTTACACTCGCATTATATTGTATTTGTTTGGAGCCTATTTTAAAAGAAGTGTCTTTTTAATGCTAGAATGTAGAATTATTAATAATATTTTTATAATTTTAATGATGTTGCTGTACAATATTTGAGAGAAATATCTCTAAAATATCTTTGCAGATTATAAGGAATATGTGTGCATAATGTTAGTATTAATGCAGCACATTCAATAGTTCCAGACAATTAACATACAGTTTTAACTAATTTAGTAATTAAAAATTCTTCCAGACATCTGATCAAGCAATGGGTGATGGATACCGCAGAGCTGTTCAATTACTTTTGTACATGAAAGCGTTACAGCTGATATCTTCTGCATTTCAGTTGTCTCAACAACAAGTTAGAAATGGACATTTACAGCCTTCTACTTCTGTTAGAAATGGTATTTGATTCATAAACTGTTTATTATGCTTTACATGCTGCACATCAAAGCACTTTCTGTAATTTATTCATAACCTAAGTTTTTTTTTTTTTTTTTTTTTTCTGATATGACATAGATCTAGTCAACTTTATAACTGTATAATGCTGCTTTGAATATATTATATAATATAGAGCGATTATATTAGGATTTCATCTTTTTAACTGTAAATTATTTTCTGTATTTTGCTTTATGACTGATTATTGTGCAATATCAAATTCTTCACTATTTGTTTTTACATCAGATACAAATTTGCAGCAGTTTGGTTCTTACAGAGGGTGTGTACACATTTTAAAAACAATTATGATAAAGAGTTAAAAAAGAAAGCAAATGTTTTGGAATAAAAATTTTGGCAATTGCTTATTATTTGAAATGAGAAGCATCGCCTGTTACTTTTAAATACATTCTTCTTTAAAAATGTTGCGTGTGAATAAGCTGTGAATTGAAGGATATGTTTTTCATTTTCACAAGAGAAATATTCCTATTCTGTAATTCAAAAACGTTGGGAAATGCATGGTATTAAAATGGTAAAATAAGCAGCATATTAATCAGAAAGGGAAACTATCAATAATTAGTTTTACGTGGAAAGAAGACTCCAAATGAATACCAGAAAAAGCTACATACTGTTTCTAATGTTTCCAAAGATGAATTGTTGATAGCAAGAGGAAATCCGCTGATGCTGAAATCAAATGCGAAGTCGTTAAATACATCTAATGTAACAATAAATAAAATAATAAACCAAGATTTACAAATTAAAAAAGCTAAAAAATACATAATGTTCACCAGCTTTTGCCAAGGAATGTGGCTGAATGCAGAACAGTTTGTCCTATATGAAATCTGTTTAGAAGGAGATGAATGGAAATACATTATGATCTATAATGACCTGGGTTTATCTATATAACCTGGGTTTACCTGATTGACTACAGAAAAGGTCTCTATATTATCAAAATCGAAGAGAAAAAAGTGTGCAAACCTGGTTCCATAATGCAAAGAGAGTTTCAGTAAGGATTTTATGATTGTCGCAGAATTCTTTTATGAAGGGAAATTTAAAATGAATATATATATATATATATATATATATATTAGAATAACTGATCATACTATCAAGTGAAAGTTTTATGTCTAATATTTGAAGAATTCCATTTCATTATCCCAGTGACTTTTAATGAATAAAATTTCACCAAGACTAAGCTACAAGCCTTACCTGAAAAAGTATCTCTGCATTCCTAGGAAAAATGAAAACTTTAGGACCAAGCGCTTTTGGAATTTCTGCCTGAAATCCCGTTGTAGAATGCACACTTGATAAACTGAAAGGTGGAGGAAAGTTTAGGAAACTTATATTCAAATTTACTGGATGGTGAAAGTCTACTGTTTATTCAAGATCCTTAAAACTATTTACAAAAGTTGAACAGTTTTCTTTAGGAGTTTTGATCAGTATGAAAATATTTTGTATGCTATAATCAAAATCGGGCTGGATATTCCTAGGTTGTATATCATGTTGTGATACTCTATTTTGCAAAGTGTATTATATAATTTGTTGGTGTTTCTGCCATGCCCTGCAATGCATTTTGTAATCCTGCAGATAATCCTGTCTTTTTTTCCTGAAATTTTCTTTAAAGACTAAGTCACCAGTGTTTCCTGATTAATTCTCAATAAGTCGATTTAGGTTTTGTAAAGAATGAAATAAATTAACTGCTATTTATCTGTCTTTCCCCATATTCTGAAGAATGATAATGAGTTTCAAACCTGCCTTTTATAGAATAGCATGCAATGGTGCATTTTCAAAATTAGGGTTCAAGCCATGAAGGAATCAAGTTTTTTATATGCTGTATCTGACTTATATCTCTTCCTTACATAACTAAAGAAAAGTGGTCTTTTCTTCAAATTTTTGCCAATATGGTTGATGCAAATTAGGTGGGATCTCCACCAATTTTTATTATCATTAGAATTTTATAATTGTTTAAAGTCTACGAAAATATATCAGCTTTTATGTCTGAAATGCATTTTTTAAAAATCTTAACTTGATTTTAAATGTAGTCTTTTAATAGCAATTAAAGTGTCTGTTTTTGTAAGTTTTGATTAGAAATTTCTTCCTCTATTCATTTGTCTTATCTACCATAAATTCCCTTTTTATATGCCGAAATCTCTGGAATTTTCATGTATCCAACTTTCAGCGTTTTCCGTGTTTTTACTCTATTTGTATTGCTTTTATAATTGTTTTTTCTGAATTTTTGTCTTATACCATCTAGCTTAACATAATTGATTATAATTGTCTTAAAAATAGTAATTCTTATCAAATAAGTTAGTTTTTTTTTAAATCCAAAGGGGCAGAAGGACTATTAATTTCATTTTGGCACTTTGTCTTGAAGCACTAAAAACTGCGTATCACTTTTCAAATTGTTGGCCACCAAATATTAAAGCCCTGTATTGCATTTAAAGAAATTAAATAATGAAGAAATCTGTACATATGTTTCTTGCATTGTGATAAAACAATTGTACCATGAAGACATCAAAATTTTGAATAAAATTTTTGGTATCTGGAAGCCCAAATTTGGAATTTGTTTTATTATCTATTTCATATTTTGTAAAATTTAACGAATTTTGCTTAACAAACTCAATGATTTCAAAGCGAGCGATGGCCACACTGTGCAGGATTTTTTTTTTTTTTTTTTTTCCTAAATCTCCAGCTTGCAAGAGTGTGTATCGGAAATTCTAAAGATATGCTCATTTTAAAATTATTTTGAGATATTGCTGTTGAACTGAATTTTATAGTTTAACCCTTTCCAGCACTCTACCTTTTATAGTCGGAGATTTGATAAAAGAAAAAAGGTAGGCAGTCTAATTAGGCCTAGAGGAGTACACAAGTAAAATTTTGTGAAGATAGCACTTATCATTTTAATTCTGTGGGTGTGCCCAAAGTGGCAGACTGATTCAATAGAGCTTTGAAAAGAGTGCTGAAATGAGCATTGTTGTCAATGAACTGACCGATGAGATGCGGAGAAACAAAGAATACAGACTCTCAGTTGTCCTAGATTATCGGTGAGCCCGGTCTGGGCACACCTAAGGTTTGTTATTTAATTTTAGGCAAGATTTCAAGTTAAAAATTTAAAACTAATATATAATAAGGAGATTAGCATACAGCCAAAAAAATAACATAGAAATTTCTTTTCAAACAATTCTTTTTATACTCTAAAAAAAAATCTGGATGATTTCTTTGAAAAGTGAGGATCTTAAAAAATCCTTTTTCATTCAATTTTTCTGTGTGAACAGAAGGAAATTTTTAGGTGTGTCCAGACCAGACACACTGTGCCGCAAAGGGTTAAGTGCAAAAAACATTATATTTAATAAATAAAGGTAAAACACAAAACGTTAAAAAAAATGTCCCTTTGGCCATAATGTAAAATCTGAAAATTGTCAGATCTTTTTTTTTTTTTTTTTTTTCTTTTTTAGCTGCCACAAAATTATGGTACCCTGTGCTAAGATACCTATCTGACATTGCATAAGCTATAAATCTTTGATGTTTTAAAATTGTAATTGTTGCTGATTCTTTACCAGCTTTATAAACTGCATTCATCTACATCAATTGTTACGATGAAATTGTGTCTGTTAAGAACACTTAAATGCTTTGTTTTGAATGTTTATTTTTATGACTTTGTGTTCTTATTCTATATTTGTGACAATTCTGCTTTTATTAGTCCAAAGAGATTTGAGTCCCAAAAAACTATAACTTTCGTTTTGCCATTTTGCATCAGACTCCTGTAAATGTCTGTTCACTTTTCAAACTATTGCCACAAAATGTTAGAGTTCTGCATTATATTTGAAGAAATTAAATAATGAAAAATCTGCATAAATGTATGTCTATTTCTTGCATTATGATAAAACAACAAACAGTATCTAGAGCCATCCAATTTTGAATGACATAATCCTACTGCAAATATGGGCATCTGAAATCCCAAATTTGAAATTAGAATTTGTTTTATTATCGATTTCATATTTTGTAAAACTTTAACAAATTTTTGAGTAACAAACTCAACGATTTAAAAGCGAGCAATGTCAACACTCTACGGGGGGGTCATCTCCAGCACGTTGAACTGTGTATTGGGAATTTTAAAGGTATGCTCATTTTAAAATTATTTTGCAACATTGCTATTGAATTAACTTTATGGTTTGAGTGCAAAGAACGTGATATTTAATAAATAAAGGTAACACACAAAACGTTTTCACCCCTTTGGACATAATTTAAAATCTGAAACATTTCAGATTTTTTTTAAGATACAAATTATATTATCAATTTCATATTTTGTAAAACTTTAACGAATTTTTTTTTTTTTTTATATTTATTTTTATGACATTTTAGTCATTGCTGTAGAGTTCTGACAATTTTTACTCATTTTTCTAGTTCTGCATTTGATGAAAGAGCATTACCATTTTTGCTTGAGTATGTGCAAAAGTCTAAATACTCCAGGACTTTTGCAGTCTGTTGGTGTAGACCCAGCTACCTCGGAAATAACAGCAGATAAAATCCTTTACAACTATGCTATAGAAATGGTATGATATCTACTTTTAAATTTATATAATTTTTCGTGAGTTAGGTATGTAGAGTAGTTATTAGTACGAAATAATAATTATATGTGTAGGAAAACTTCGATCATGTTATTAACTATTTTCTGCCTTAGTATTTATCACAAAGCTGAGTGTAAAAAATTGAGATTTTTTTAAAGTTATTTTTTGTTAAAATTTATTTATACTTTTTTTTAAATTGAAATTGACTTTTGTTTAAATCTTTTTTTTTTTTTCTTTAAAATATGTAGTATAAATAAAAAGTAGAGTTGCTTCTAGCTATTTTGATCTGTTATTAAAACTTCCTTTGCCAAATGAATGCTATATTAAATAGATATTTAACATTTCCTGGTGATTGAACTTGAAAATAAAAAATAAAAAAAAACTGTTAAGAAATGAGAATTTAAAAAAAAAAAAAAAAAAAAAAAAAAAAGCCAGTTGAATTTCTATATTTATACACATATCCATGACATTTTGCTCTTGGTTTAAGTTGTACGTAAAAGTTGCACCAGTGGTGGAGTAATTAATACTGGTAATTAGACCTGCTTTGGGCTCGAATCCAAGCAAACTAACTGGTGAGCTGTTTGGTTGGTTTTCATGGTTTTTCAAAATGTGTAACATGATTATGGGCCTCTGAGAAAGTCTCCCGCAAAGGCATCCCAGCCTCTTAGGGTGATAGCCCTCATGGCTTTGTCACATTCAAATAACCTAATACATATCAAATGCTAATGGTGGGCATTTCCTTTTAACGACTTCCATAAAACATGAGCTTTGAAGCATTTCAAGTTTTGTGTCTCTATTTGCTTTTCACTAGACCAGATTTTAAAAAACATTCTGTGATTACTGGCAAATTTCTTTTACTCCTATATATCCTTTTTATAGCTATGCAATTTCACTACTCCAGTGCAAGTACTTTTTATGAAGTTTTTTCATCAACTTGTGGATTAGTAAAGGGTGTGATTAAGATATAAATTTGAAAATGTGCTTTATAATACTTTTTAGTAAAAATTCTAAAAGCTTATATTGTAAAATAAATACTAAAAACTTCATGCAACCAATTGGTCCCACTGTATTTAAATCCTTTACAAAGATAACATTTCCTAAGAAATAAGAACACATAGAAAGAAGAAAGAGTTTTAAAGTGGTGCAGATTTCATATCTTAAAAGTTAATGTATGAAATTTATCACTAAGCAGCTTCTATTTTGTGTTAAATTTCCTAAGCCAATCTTTGAAAATGATTTGTTTTAGTTCTTGCTTAACTCCGAAATCTTGACATGAAAATAAAAGTTTGCTGCTTTGTAGGTCATGAAATAGGTGTATACACATTATTTAAATTGCAAGAATGCTACATATGTGAATTATTTGATATTGTTTTATGTAATTTTTTATATTTTACATTTATCTTTTGCTATCTTTAGTGTCAGTCTGCTGCATTAGAGGAACTGTTTGGAGAACCAAAAGAGGTGATGAATTTTTTTTATTAAATTTTAATTCATTTCAAAATGTAAGTTAGTATTTGTAACAGAGAGAGTATGCATAAGATTCATTATAGAGACAGTATCATACAATCTAATTATTTTTTTAAATGCTTAGCTGATTTTTTTATTTAATTTGTTGCTATCAATAAGAATTTATCTTTTCAGATTTTTCTTTTGTTTAGTATGAAAGTCGATTTAAATTGTCTTTTAAAAAGAAAAAAATATGTATAAGTTATGTACACTTATTTGTTATATATAGGTGGCTGTTTTGGGGAAAAGTTTTAAAGAATAGTAAATATTTTTTAGCTAAGTGTAATTGTGGCTGTTATGTAAAAAATAATTAGCATACATTTAATGCATATACATCTTTGACAGAATCGATTATCAGAACTTTATGGGGTAATAGGACAAAGTGATATCAAAGTAACAATTTCCATAATACAATGTATGGTGAAATATGAAATGAGCACCAGAAACACAGGAATTACAAAAAACATTCAGAAGGAAAAATTGTTTTAATCATGGATATTTACAATAATTGTTCAGAACAACCAGCAGCTACACTTGCAACATGCATTATAGTGTCAATGGATCTCATTTCTCTTCTAAAGACCTTTTCACCAAAATAAGCATCTCTGCTGCAGAAGTATGTGACATGCTAGGTGTCTTCCGAAATGTGGTGCAGTTACGTTATCTTTGTAATGATGCATTGGTTGTCATTTAAATGATTTTTATGCTGCATTCAGTTGGTTTATGTGCAAATTATGCTTTGAATGCTGTAAAACATTTCATGTAAGTTGCATATTCTACTGCATTATAATAAAGAATGCCATTTCTTTTAGCTAGAATAATACTATGCATTTTCCCAGTTATTCTTTCCAAGTATGTTAACGTTTGACATAATTGGAAGCTATAGCTAAATTATTGTTAAATGTTAACAATAGTTTAGCTATAGGTCTTGATAATTTTGTGAGTGGAAGTACTTTTTTTCTGGCAGCATATTATATGTAAAAAAAGAACTTATGTATTACATATGCAGAGTTGCCAACTCTCCCAATTTAGGCAGGAAACTCCCGACTTTTTGTTATTCTTAAAATTTCTCACGATTTTTATGGAACTTGGCTTAATACTTCGTTACGTGAACAAAAAAACAGAAAAAAAAAGTGATTTGGGACGTTTGAAAGCAATTGAATTTTCTCTAGATTATATCTAAAACAAAACCTTGCAAATCAGATGAGAATTTCTGTTTTGTGAGTGAGAGCATGCGTATCCAGAAACATCGTTCTCCAATGGGCATCGAGCTCCACTGCGTGTCATCTGGTATATATTAGCCAATGAGCACAAGCAAGCTCAAGGCTGTTATTTGAATGTTCTTTAGTTATTTCGTTTATCTTGTTCTGAGTTGTGTGTGTACACGTGCCTTTGGGAAAAAGTTTTAGAAATTATCATCTTTTGTTATGTCTGCAGGAAAGGTGAAATACTCCTATACGTTTCAAAAATAGTACACAGTTGGCTTTCTTTCCATTATTTCCTCAAGGAATGTAATAAATTTGCGATGTGTACCGCTTGTCGTTGCGATTTTTCGATTTTGCATGGTGGAAGGGGCGGATGTTCTCAAATATGTGCGTACACAAAAACACAAAGACAACATGAGTTGTTTCGAAAAAAATGAAAATTAAATTTTTCTTCGGAATCAAAGGATCGAAAAGTTATTAATGCAGAATGTCTGTTCTCTGCCTTTTTACTGGAGCACAACCTGCCACTGAATCAGGGTTCGTAGCGGTCCTTATAAGTCCTTATATTTGAAAATAAAATGTAAAGGCCCTTATAGGTGCTTACTTTTCTTTAAAGCCCTTATTTTGTTGTTTTTAGTGCTTATTTTTTGCTTTTAGTTCTTTTTTTGTTTAATGAATGTGCTATTTTTCCCCGTACCAAACCCAAAAACTAAATAAACAGCTTTTGTTCCTAATATGAAATGTCAGATGATGAATCATACTCCTGGAAATAGCTTTACCCCCTTTCTCTGCATTAACATAACCTTTGGTGTTCATGAAGAGTACAGACAGGTACCCGTCGTTCTATTGGTCAAAGAATTGCGAAAGCAGTAGAAAATTCTGGTACATTCGGCATTTTTTCCCTCCCACCCAAATACTACACACGTTTGAATTTCTATCAAGATCTTAATAATTTGCATTCTCGTTCCGCTTGGTCAGTTCATATTCGTGTTTATTATGATCGTTATGCGTATATTATATGTATGAATGTTTATAATAACATATTTGCAGTAACTGCTGAAGTATAGTAAACTTTCAAAAATGGTTGTGTTTTAACGCAGATTAACTTTCTAAGGAATAATATTCCGAATAAACTTCTAAAAATGGTTGTGTTTTAACTCAGATTAGCTTTCTAAGGAATAATAGTCGGAATGGCTTAAATAAAGGGAAAGTAATCGAATACTCAAAATAATTTAATTTTTTTGGCCAATACACTATGCAGTACTAAGATTGGGAGGTTCTCCCCTTTCTCCGCAAAATCTCGAATATTGAAACTGTTACAGTTCGCTGTAAAACAAGCAATGGACTTTTTTTTTTTTTTTTTTTTTTGTCACTTTCCAATCTTAATTGAATAGGACTAAAAGTCTTGCAGTCTACCAACCCAAGCGAAGAATGATTCTGTTCCGGAAATTTAACGTCGTCTGTTGAAATTAGAATGAAAAACACCCCAGTTATTTAGTTCTTTATTCTTCCAACACCGGCAGCTGTTGATTCCAACTGCGTAATATCACATAGGGAAGAATTAAGGCGCATGTATTGCGCAATAACGTTTGCGATATTTTGCAGAGATAATTAATTTTGATGTTTTGTCCGAGATTTGTTTATGAACATTTAAAAGAGTTTTAATGTGCTTGCTAAGCAGAATATTTTTCAGTCCATTGGTTTATTTTTATATGATGCACATATCGAAATGTCAAAAGCATTTATTTAGCGGCAAAATCTAAAGAGCGGCTACAATCTACCTCCCTCCACTCCTTTTTTTCAAGTTACGCTCGACTGTCTGAATATTGACCAATTTCCAAGTATGCGGGTTAGTTAAGCTTTTACTGTTAAAGGATGACTGCATGAAGCAAATTTCTGTCTTCTGATTTCAGAAATGTTCCTCTTTTTTACTTAAATTACTTTGCTTGCAATATCTGTTAAGGGAAAACTGATATACAATGAAAATTTAGAAAATGTTCAGAATTTAGATTTAAATTATTTAAATATCAATATGAATGGAAAAATAAACTGTATTTATTATTAGGTTCCAAGCAAATACAATAGATATGCCTTATTATTATTTATTTTCTCTATTTTGAACTGAAATTTCATCATTAAATCTTGTAATATAGTTTAGTTCTGCATAGTTTTTTTTTCTCTCATTGTAAACTAGTTCTGTAAATTTTAATCCAGTCTTCAGAAATTGAGTGCAGTTTACCTTATGTCCCCACTTTAAAAGGACATTTGACAGGCTTTAATAGCACAGCTAATTATTAAAACTTTAAAAGAAAATGCAGTCCCTCTGGATAATTGCTTAGCACTTGGTGCCGATAATGCACCAGTATTGGTGGGCTTGGAAGATTGGTGTTGCAGGCATCTTAAGAAAGGAAAATTCAGATTTGCAGATTATGAGGTGCACCTGTCACCTCTTAAATTTAGTAGCTGAAAAAGGGGCAGCTTCTTTACCAATAAATGTGGATGAACACATTGTTGATATTTATTATTATCTTGAAAAGAGTTCTAAAAGGAAGGAAAAATTGAAACAGTTCCAACAGCTGCATAACAGCAGTTTACAATTAGAAAACTTGGATGAAGTTATAAAATCAGCTAGGATTGACACCCAGTGGAGTTTAATTGGAAAACTGAAAGATGCTGATGGAATTTTAAAATATAGTGAACTGTCTAGAATTATGTTAGCTATCTTGACAGTTCCCCATAGTAATGGAGAATGTGAGAGGATTTTCAGTGATGTTGTGAAAACGAGGACTAAATTTAGATCTAATATTAGTGATGACACATTAGAAAAACTTTTATTAGCAAAAGCAGGTCTACGTGGCAATTGCTGTGAACAAAATTATGAAGTTTCTTTCTTAAAGAAAGCAAAATCTGCCACTGTTTATAACATTTGTACGAAAACTGATTAAAGTTCCTCCCCCCCTTAAATGATGCAAATAATAAAAATGTTTAATGTAATAAAAATGTAATGTTAATTTTGTAAATATAACGCTGATTTTTGTTGTTTGACTTCTGAATTAGTATTTATTCGGCGTGTTTATTGTGTCTTAATTAATAAAAATGTTTTTTATGTGTAAGGTATTTTTGTGTTGCTTGCATTTAAGAATTAGTTACTATTTAAAATTAATTCATTATTAAAAACTATATTTTCATCATTTAAAAAGTCTTTTTAACATTGTGAAAAATCTCCCGATTTCTTAAAAAAATCTCCTGATTTTTGAGTGTCATAGGTTGGCAAGTATGCTAGTATTATGTAAGGTCATATGAATTGCACAGATTGGAGTTCAGTTGCTATTTTTAGAACAGAAAAGGGAAATAGTCAAATTAAAATAGAGGGTTAAATGGTTCATTAGAAATTACAATTAGAATTTTGATATCTTATATATATAACTCATTTGTATCAAAAGATCAAGATGAAGTCAGCACAGTAAGGAAATTTTATATTTTGTGAGCAGAATTAATTTCTATCTTTTAGACAGAAATTGCTTCATGAGCTGACTTCATTCATGACCACCCAGGTTTAAAAATTCTTTTTTATATTAAAATTATGCAAATTTATTAAGGGAAATTTCACTAGATTGATTCATATATTTCAAATATATAAAAAATGGAATTCTTGAAGATATTTAATATATATTTATCTGTTCCATAACAGATTGCTGGTTTGTGAATGCCTGTATGTAATTCTGCTGTTTCTGTTTGAACAACTTTACATGATATTTTCATGAGTTGGATACCTGAACTTTTCAATTAAGTTCAAACAGAAGGGGGCCTATAATTCATTTTCAGTAATTTCTTGATTACATTATAAAGCCTGTAATAATGTTTTTTAAAAATGTATATAATTTTTCAAATGCCACAATGAAGATAATGTAATAATAGAGACTTTTCACATATTTTGAATAAATTCTATGTAATTATTTTTAATTTTTATAGAGCTTTCATCGTTATCAGACTGCTCAGATACTATTGCATAGTCTTGGCCAACAAGTAAATGATCTCAGAGATAAAGAACTCCTTCATAAATGTAAGTTATATTTTCTATAAAACTAAAATTATTCTCTTTCAAATTAATAAGAGAATATTTAAAGTAAAAATTTGCAGAATGATTTAAAGAAATGTACTTTAACCCTTTGAAGGGCATCGTTGTACAATATATACTGGATGTTTGTAAATTTTTTAACCTCCTATAAAATGCTAATTTTTCTACACCATAAGCTTTAATCATAAGTTTCTACCATTTCCTTTTGATTTGAAATGGCAGTACTACATTATGAATGCTCAGTATTTTGCAGTTATGAAATTAATGTACCTCTTTCAAAGGTGTCATGTTTGAATATTCATAAATTCCATTGAAGGGTAGGAAAAAAATCACAATCCTCAAATATATGACGCACACGTATCTTCATATATATGACTTGTGGGAAATAACCCACAAGTATGAAATTTAATCCTGAAATTAATAATTTACTTTTGTTTACTACAAATTATAGCTATTTTGATATATATATATATATATATATATCAAAAGAGCTGTATTTGTATTAAATCAGGATATCATAATTCTTAAAGTATTCATAGAATTGTAGCTTTATAAATTCAGAAAAATAATATAGTCAACTATTTATAACTTTCAAATGAAAATGTTAAAAAATTCTTTTTTGATAAATAAGAACTAACATCGAAATGCACATTGCATTAATTTCCAGGTTTTTCTTGCAATTCTTCCTATTGTTTTATTAGTTTAAGTTTACCAAAGCTTATTTCCCCTAATAATAAATGACAAATTAAAAAATATAATTAAGGTAATTTTTGAATTTGTATAGCCAATTTGGCCCCTCTTCTAGTGATTCACATGAGGCAAGGGTGTGGCAAGTGCCTCACTGCCTCACCCTTGTCACACGTTCTAGTGATTCGCTTGCCTCCCTCTTTTCCCAGCTCTGATTACAACCTATATTTACAAAAAAATTAAAAAGGACCTCACCTGGCCTAATAATCGAAATTGTGGGGGGGGGGGAGGATTTTTGCTTGCTTGCTTGCTTGAAGCATACTCTTTTTATATGTTACCTAAAACATGAAATATAATAACTTCAAAAATGCAACATAATTTTGTAGTGTTTCTTTTTTTTTTTTCCCCCCAGCCTGAGTAACATTTTCTTATAACAGTGTACTAGCTCAATTACAGCATATGAAACGGTTTCTGCATGCAGCAATGCATGCATATTTGGTAAAATTTTTCAAAAAATAATAATATTGAATTTAAATCACTTTTAAAATCTTTTTACCCATATTTTACATAAGTATATTCAGCTGGATGGCATCACCAAAGTGCGAAAAAAAATCCCCCCCCCCAAAGCATCACCAAAGTGCGAAAAACATCAATTTTATTTTCTAATTTTAAATTTCTAGTGAAATTGTAAAGTTTTTTGCCTTTAGACTTGCATAACTGTGCTCAAGCACCCATTTCTATAGATGCACATCAAAAGTTCACAAAAATAGATTTAAAAAGCAAAAATTAACAATTGGCAGCTACCTGGGGGGGGGGAAATGTCGTAGAGGGGCACCAGTATAAAATATATATCGGCCCCTCAAAATTCAGCATTTCACTCTAGATTTTTTTCAAGGCTCAATTTTGTGTCCTAAGGGTATATATTTTACAATTCAAAATTTTACCACAATATAAATTATTTTATACGAGGGCCATCCAGGAAGTAGATTACGTTTCCGTCTGTGTCCGCTAGGGGCGGGGCTAGCGCGGCCATCTTGGGGTCAGAGCGTTGCGCAGCTCAGTCTGCATCTAGCCGTGCTAGTGAGAGGTTCGTGCTGTGCTCCGTTCAGATACTGTGACGGTTTGAAATGTCTGCGTTAATTGAAAATCCCGCGAGCTGCGAGGTGCGCTCAGTAATAAGGTTTCTGACTGCAAAAAACTGTAAACCGATAGAAATCTATCGGCAGCTTCGTGAAGTGTATGGGGACAACATTATCACTGAAGGTGGAGTGCGTCAGTGGGTCATAAGATTTCAAAATGGCCGAACCAATGTTCACGACGAAGATCGAAGTGGGAGACCCAGCATAGTGACCGCCGAACTTCTCGAAAAAGTCGATGCTAAAGTCCGTGAAAATCGAAATTTCACAATAACGGAACTTTCTTTGAGTTTTCCACAAATTTCGCGAAGTTTGTTGCACGAAATCATCAGCGAAAAGCTTGGTTACCACAAGTTTTGTGCAAGATGGATTCCAAAAATCTTGACAGAGGACCACAAAAATCAGCGAATGGCTGCAGCGTTGAACTTTTTGGACGCTTACCATAAGGATGGTGACTCTTTACTCGATCGCATCGATCGCATCGTTACTGGTGACGAAACATGGGTGAAACATGTGAACTGTGAAACGAAATTGCAATCAATGCAGTGGGGGCACACAAGTTCTCCCCAAAAACCCAAGAAATGCATGCAAACAATGTCGGCAAGGAAGATGATGGCGACTGTTTTTTTGGGACAGAAAAGGTGTAATTTTGGTGGACTTCCTGGAAAGAGGCACTACAATAAACTCTCAAAGGTATTGCCAAACTCTCCAAAAACTCAGAAGAGCAATTCAAAACAAGCGCAGAGGAATGTTGAGCTCTAAGATCTTGTTGATTCACGACAACGCCCGGCCCCCACACGGCAAATGTCACTCGTAAAGTTCTTGAATCTTTTAAGTGGGAGTTGTTTCCTCATCCGCCGTACAGTCCCGACCTGGCACCGAGCGACTTCCACCTATTCCCAGCAATGAAGAAGTGGCTGGCTATGCAGCGTTTTGATGACGACGCACAGCTGCAAGAAGAGGTAACGAAGTGGTTGAAGGCGCAGGCGGCCGAATTTTTCGACGAAGGAATTTCCAAGCTCGTACATCGCTACGATAAATGCCTTAATTTGTATGGTGACTATGTAGAAAAGTAGTATTTGAGTGTGGCTTTCATCTGTATATAATAAAATTTGTTTCCTATACTTTGTTTATTTTTTTATTCCAAAGTAATTCTTCTGATAGCCTGTATAACCTAAAATAATCATAAACTGCTCCAAAACCGCAAATTTTTTTTTTAAATTTCGAATTCTTTCACCAATGCGAAAATTAAAAAGTGTTGAAGAAATGTTTTTGTTTAGTTTTTAAAATTTTAGTTTAATATTTTGTTAACTTCAAATTTAATTTAAGGTATAATGAAGATTTAATAGTTCTGTTTATCAAAATTTAATTATATTTAAAGTGGAGAAAAAGTATTTTATAATCTGTAAGCGTTAATATTTATTAATCACCTTTTTTTCATTAATTTTCTCTCAAAAGCAAATAGCTAGATGTTAATCCTCCAATTTATTGTGGGATCTCAAAGGATATGAGGGCATTACTGTATGTCCATAATATTCTGTGAAAATTTAATCTCTTTTAAGTTTATATGATGTTTATTTTTATATTATCAATATTATAAATTGGTAATATTTTCAAATATTAATTTATTTCTTCCTTTTTAACAAGATCGGGATGCTGTTCAAAGAAGACTGGAAATTCCTACCAACAACCGATCTGTATATGCGTATCATACAACCTGAGGATCAAGATGTACTAGTTTTTGATTCTTACGTGAAAGTTTAAGAAAGATATTTTCTAATGTGAATATCTCTCAGTTTCCAAATATCTTCTTCCTTTTGTGAATGAATAACCTATTATATATATAAAAATAGCTTTTAGTGTCCATGCATAGAAATTGTGTATTTCACGACATTTTGTATTCCAAAATTTACAGTTCACATTTTTATTATAAGCTGATTAAATATTTACTCTATATTTATGAAAATCATACCATTTTATTTTTGAACATCACTTGTGAAACCTGCATAGTATCATTAGTTGGCTTTATACCACATTTTCTTTGATATGTTTGAGGAAATAATATAGATATAAGCAGCAATTTTAATAAAGTATTTGTGTAAGGAATAGATGCTTTTGCAAATAAACTCAGAATGTTGTGAACTTATGAGAAGATATTTTGAAATTTACATGGCACTTTATTTTAAATAACTGGTGAGATGTTGTTTCTGTTACATTCAAATGCTGATATAACATCTCTTGGTGTCTAGTAAATAAACTGTTCTAATGTCAATAAAATTAGTAAAAATACTCAAAAACATATTTTGTTAATAGCTGGTAATATAAAATGCTATTAAGTTTTTTTTAAGTCTTATAACAAAATTTCCTATTTTATAAAATTTTATTTATTGAACATAAGTTTTTTTAATCATTTTCCATGAACAAAAATGTAAATGTGATTATAGGAGCATTTGCATGAAAAACTTTTACTACTATATACTTTCCTCTGCAAATAATTTAGGTGTATCTGAAGGTATTTCATTTTAGTATATGTATTTAATTATTAAAACTTCGTGGTTTATACTTTTTTTTTTAATTTAATTTTTAAGAAAGCATCTAATTGGAATAAAATGAAATCTTTTAAATAACCATAAAAGTATAAATAAATATTTATACATCAATAGGTTACGTATAGAGAATGACTAATAAAATCTTATCCTGAAAAACTGATGTATATATTTAATAAGAAAAAAAGTAAACAAGTAAAAATTTGAATTCTTAGTAGATGTAAAACATTATAACTTAACTGAGGAAAGAATAAAATAGTAATTTTCTCAGAATAGTGAGTATCCTTAAAATATGACTGTTTTTACTCAACAAGCATTTTATGATGCCAAGAGCCCTTAGTTCCGTGACTGCAATTATAATGTTAGTATATCTATCATTCCTTGTTGTGTACATAGTATTTATTTGGATGGCAGTAGTAAAACTATTTATTTTTGGTATGTTGTGGTGAATGTGAGTGAGTTAATAATGCCTGTATTACATAATGTGTTTATGTGCATAATTAATCATGTGTAATTGATAACAGAAGTCATAGTTTATCAAGAAATGAAATAAATTGCCTATAATACTCAAAATGCACAGTAATTCAGAGTATTGGTAATAACTTAATAAAGATTTTTCAATGTAAAGATGTCTGCAAAATTTTATACTTGCAAGAAAATTGGCATGCTAACAGAAAAGCTGCTATGTCTGAAGGTATTTTTCAGACCAGAAATATGAGAAAAATGTCTCCGAAAACCAATCCTACATTCAGATTCTCATTTCCAATTTAAATTATTTCCAATTTAAATCTAGACTTCAGTTTTATTTTTTAATATATTTTGGACTATATTAATTTTTATTATGTATATATTTGTTAATCCTCACTATAAATATCGTCTATTAAATAATGTTCTGTTGTTTATGGGGGTGTGAGGAAAAGAAAAAGTAGAGATGATTTTTTTAAACTTTTGTGAACATTAATTCCAATTTTGGAAAAGGGAAGGGAAAAAGGTGAAAATCTGAATGAATTTAATATATTAAATATGAATTTCTGCAGCTTCTCCTCACTCTCAAGCAAGGTATAAATGGAATTTTATATTCATGAAATTCTGTATGAAAGAGTTATTTTGCTTAAATGCCAGTGAAATGAATTTTAAAAGGTTTTAATTACTTAAAGTTTCTGTGCCAAGTTTGATCTCATGCTTTCTTTTAATGTAAGATAAATAATATGTATATTACTTACCAAATAAAAAAGAGAGAGAAGTTATTACTGTTAGTTCAACATACGAAACATTTGGCATTTGTATCAATGTCTTGTAAATATGTAAACCTTTATATTTGTTTTTTCAAAAAATTAATAGGAAAAGTCAGCAGTGATAAAATTATACTACTAATAGTGCATTTAACAGTGTAAGAGTATTTGTGTATCATTGGCAACATTAGGGATGAGGATGTTTTGTGTCATGGCTTTTTATTTTGTGTATGAACTGTTATCTTTGTGCTTTCCTCCCCCCCCCCAATCAAAAATAATGTTAATGTGTATTTGAGGGTCCACTTTCAAAAATTTTAATGAACTAAGTGTCAGTAATTAACTTGTCATCATGAGTTACTTTTTATGTGTATTTCAAGACAAGGTGTAATATATTTTGTTGCAGAAATTGATTTCTATCATATCAATAATTATTCGTTCTCTTTTTCTCTTTTTAATTTAAATAATAATATAAAACTCCAATGAAACTGGAATATCGCATGTAAAATATCATTTATTTAAATTTAAATTAATTATATAAAACTCCAATGAAACTGGAAATGTATCAAATGCAAATGTAAAATATCATTTATTTTAAATTTAAATTAATTAATATAAAACTCCAATGAAACTGGAAATGTATCAAATGCAATCTGATTAGTTCATCTGAAGAAAAAAATTACAATCCAGCCATATAATTTCAATTAGATCTGGGTTAAAAGTACTATTGTAGAAAAATGCCATTGCTTTGATTTCATAACTATATCTCACCTATCTCACCATGAAATAATTCTGTGTACAAAACTTTTTCAATTCTTGTGGATTGTGAAATATAACCTATACATTTTTTAATCAAAAAACTCATTGTTTTGAATGGGCACATCCTCATCCTTTTGTCATTGATCCATATATTATGAGAATGTAACTTAATAGTGTGATGTCCGACATGGACGTTTTTGCATGCATATGTGCGTGGAGTAAATATAATTTTATTATTTCATTCTGTATAAGTGGTTTGTAAATATTTTGACGTTTGATAGTGATAGTCTCAGCGTGTGCTTGTAGCGACCAATTTTCGTTTTCCTGATGTATGGTGCACAATTCATAAGTTGGCTGTAAATTTTGTCTTTTTTGTGATTGTACATGAATTTGTAATAAAAATATTCTTAGTGTAATGATGCTTTCTTTCTTGACTTTTTATTTATTTATTTTTATTATAGATAATTTAAGGCATTATTATTAATTCAGAAGCAGGGCCCTGCTTCATGAATGTCATTATGGTATCTGATGCTCTGTACATTTGTGAAATTTAATAGTCTGAACAAGAATAACATTAAACTATTTTAAATACTTCATTCTTAATTATCATATATATTCTTCTAAAGATGTATTGAATTTGAAATATTGCATAGCTACGTAACTGTTGAAAAATTCTTCATGCATGTATAAATGCCCTAATACTGATGCAAATTTCAAATTTATGAGTTCAAATAATGACATAATTTTCATTTAATTGTTTCAAATTAGAAAACGGATGTTGAAATGAATATTAGTAATAAGAAATTAAGCCCAAAAACAATGAAACGAGCTTTCAAAGTGTTAATTTAAAGGCTGATATCTATATAAAACTTGCTAGTAATCTTTAAGGTGAAAAATTACACTGAAAGCAAAAGTTTAACCTCACACACACACATTTTAGCGATTCTAAATACTGAAATGTTTTTTATGACTTCAAACTACACTAGTTATCATAAATTAAGGAAAAATCACAAAAATAGCGATAACTCCCTCAAAAATAAACCAAACTGTGTAAAATTTGAATATGTTGCCAAGTAAGAGTAGCTGAGTAAAACTGGGATATGCAAATTAGTGGCACTGCTTTCGGAATACATCATCTAAAGTCCATGTTTGAGAGCAAGCCCACATATTTCACTGTGACAGTGACATCAGAAATCTGAGATAGCCAATTCGTAACAATGACCTCCAGGCATCATTTGCCTGCAGAACTGCAATAGAGAGCCATTGGGAGACTAGAGGCAGGACAAAGTCAAACATAAGTGGCCAGATGGCTAAAATGTGAGTCCTTCTGTGGTTCATAGACTTTGGAGGCAATTTCAAACCACAGATTCAGCATCTAGGAGTTTCAGCCAAGGACTTCATCCTTGTAAGTATGATGAGTGCCGATGACCGATATTTGACATTATGTGCACGCAGGAATAGAACTGTTACTCCGAATCTTCTTAGATCCTCCCATGCTGCAGCTACCGGAAGGTTGGTGTCAACGTCAACTGTGCATAGAAGGCTTCACGAAGGTGGTCTGTATGCGAGGCGACCAGCCATTTGTGTCCCACTCATGTCATGCCATTAGAGGGACCGTTTTCAGTGGGCACAACATCAAGTCCACTGGACGCCTGATCAATGGAGGGCGGTTCTCTTTACAGAATAGTCCAGGTTTAGTCTAGAAAGCGATAGTAGGCGTTATTTGATATGGAGAGAACCTAGAACCCGTTATCATCCATCAAACATCCGTGAAAGAGATGCATACGGAAGGGGCAGTGTCTGTGTTTGGGGTGGCATCTCTTTGGGTGGATGCACAGACCTCCACGTCTTTCCAACGGAAACCGTGAATGCTACGGTTTATAGAGATGACATCCTTGGTGCTTATGTGCGCCCGGGCCCATATGCCGGGGCAACAGGTGATGCTTTCCTGTTACAGGACGACAATGCAAGACCACACAGGGCTCGCATCATAGATGGTTATCTTCAACAGGAAATAATTATGTGCATGGAGTGGGCAGCTCGATCCCCGGACTTGAATCGTATCGAGCACGTGTGGGATGCTTTAGGGAGACATCTAGCTGCTCTCAATCCGAACCCTCAAAACCATGTCGCGCTTGCAACTGCTTTGCAAGAGCAATGACTCTCACTTCCTATGGAACTGATAGATCGTATAATTAAAAGCATCACACATCGCTGTATGTGCTGTATTGCTTCTAGAGGTGATCATATTCCATATTGAGGGTACTTTTCGTATAGCAAACTGACACCTTCGATTTGTTCATTTTATACATGTGCTAATTCCTATACTACCATATTTGTCTGGTAATTTCTTTTTATGTTATTTGATACCTTGCTATGTGTTGTAAATTGGGGGTAAGTTTCATTAAATTCTACATGTAACTTTTTCAGTAATCGTGATTTTTGTGCTTTTTCCTTAATTTATGATAACCAGTGTATGTATCAAATTTTTTTGTCAAGCAGTGTTGGAGTAACTGACATTTTATATGTTACAGAAAAGAGTGTTATTTTAACATTTGTAAGCTGTTACAGTATTTGATGTTTACTTTGGAATAAGGGTCTACAGTCCCATGAACCAAAAATGGCTCATACAACTGTTTCCATAGCTTAAACCTTTTTGAAAAATTAAATAGTGAACTTGAAAATTTGATTAAATAAAACATAATTTCAATATAGTATATTTTCATAAATAAAAAGAACAATTTTTAAAAAATATTAATGATAAAAATTAATGATAATTTTTTACTATCTCAGTGGAAACTTTGATTATCTTTTCCTTGAAAACAGATTGTCAATATTGTTACCAGTATTTGAAGTCAATATGTATAGAGTATTCCTGAAATATTGGTCAGTAATCTGACATCTAATACTTCATCCTTGTAAGTATGTGATTCTTAATAAAACACATCAGGGAAAATTAAGGGAAATGCATCCTCAGAAATCTACTTTGTAAGATGCAAACAAGGAGATGTTGAAGAATTATTTTATCTTGAGAGTTGTTTTAAAATCCCGAGTATCTCTTTGTATTCAGCCTGATAATGATAATGTCAGCAGTATCAATACTGAATGGTTTAGAAAATCAATCTAAGAAAAGTAGGTTACTGGTTATAAAAATTATTAAATCACATTTTGAATTTGTCAACTTATTTAATTTGGCAAGATGAAATTTTTCACTCTTGTGTTTATGGAAATAATTTAAATCTAGCTACAAATGCTTCCTTTGTATACATAATCTTATTCAGTAATTCTTTAGCAACCAAAGTAAAGTAGTCTACATTTTTGATTTAAAAAAATTTTTATAGAATGGTCATCAATAGTTAAAATGACTATTTTCATTAAATTTAGAACTTAGCTTTTTAAATTTATTCTTATACCCATTTTTTAACAAAGACAATCAAACTGGATATACCTGAATACATGGAGATCTTTTTATCCTGAGTGTAGTTGTAGTTTTTATGTAAGCCAGATGATAGATTTATATGAAATTATACACTGCAATTTTTTGATCGATTAATTTTATGAAATTTTATTCTTTAATCAGCCTTCCTAGCCAAGGGGTTACTTTAGCAGTCTAATCAGCTTGCCTAGGCAGGATTTTTTAGAGGTAGTATTAGTCTCAAAACTTACTTTTTGTCTGATTCACTTTTGAAAATGTTGCCACTAAATGTAATCACAAAATATAATTTTTACAAAAGATTAATTAATGAAAAATCTTATGTTCCTTCCATTGGGGAAAAATAACAGCACCTACAGTGACTGAATTTTTAATAAATGTAGTCTTCTACCTGAACATGGGCACCTTGAGGCCTAAATTTTTAATTCGAATTTGTTTTTGATTTATTTCATATTTTGTGCAAATTTAAGGAGTTTTTGTATAATAAACTCGGTGATCTGACAGCGAGAAATGGCAACACTGTTAGAAATAAAATATTTTTATCTCCAGCCTGTTACCATTCAACAAAATCTAAGATCTTTCAATTTTATTTGACAAATGTGGTTATTTCCAAGCTATGTTGCCACTGCCTTAAATGGAATACTTATTATCTTCCCAGATTAGGGTAAGGCATAAGATCTCAAATTTAATCTTTCTGTTACTGAGTAGCAAATTAAGTGATTGAAAAACAATAAATGCAGTTCTTAAAAATATGTTTGGTACTTTTTAATCTGATTGATTTAAATAAAAATGCATTTAGAAATATTCAATATTTTGATGAAATGGCACTAGATGGACTCTTTAAAATCATTATATACGTTGTACTTTTTTTATGATAAATCTTCTAGGCGACTGGCCCCTCGAGCAGCTAGTTTTGGAAGGAATAATATGGTGAATATTAAAAAAACAATGTATTCCAACCCTAACACTCTATTGGGAGTTCTAAAGATATGCTGTGTTTAAGTATTTTGTGATTTTCTCTTGAATTTTATGTGGTGTATGTGCAAAGAAAGCAATGCTTAATAAAGCTAAAAAGAAAAAAAAGGCTATTGAATAAAATACTTAATTATTATGTTACAGTAATAAAACTATACTTTTAAGTTATTTCTGGAATGTCTGAAAAGAATTATACAGACAAAACTTCTGAATAATACAAAAAATATATTTTTTATTTATTTATTTTCAGAAAATCGTGAGAGAAAGCTTTTTTA